GCTTGGACAGTGCTAGGTTTGAAGGATAAGATGGAATTTAGGTTGGTGCAAAAGTAATTGCAGCTTTTGCCATTCCTTTCAATAGCAAAAAATACAATTATTTTTGCACCAACCTAATACTAGGTTTGAAGGATAAGAATGGGGTAACAGTCAAATGACTTGCACTGTGATTGGTTGGATATTTGTGTGAGACTATATTGCCACTAATCACTGTCATCCTAAAAGAGAAAAAAAAAGCAAGAAGAAAAAGAAGATCTGTGTTGTCATGGCAATAGTTTAACATTGTAATAATTAAAGCCTGTCTTAACTGACTAGCTAAACTGTGACTTAAAATATGTGCTATTTACCCTATAATTAGGACACTGACTTACTAGAACAAAAATGTTACCACTTTTTTATTCTCATAAGGGACTTTACAGCTGCAAAATTATAATCAGAGTCATAAAGAAGAAATTACAGAGGAGAGAAAATTAAAATTTTATAATATTGAAAAGCATAAAGGAGTGTGAAATAATAGAATAAATCTATTAAAAAATAAGGAATTAAATTCTTAGAGGTTTTGCTCCCAAAAATCAAAAACTTCTTGCATAATTGAAAGTGATTTTAGCAAGAATATTAGATTCTCTATTCAATAAAATATTCTGAATATCTTAAGAATATTGAATATGCAAACTAGATTATACTAGACCCTTTTAATATTTCACAGCCATATGTACCATGTATATTCCTTTTTCTTTTTATTTTCATAAATTCTCTCTGACCTCTCCTAACCCTAATTTAAGCTCCCAATTCTTCATATCTGGGGTAGATTCAAGGTCAAAGTGCATTTTATGTCATGCCTAATGCATTAGAATGGCATATATCTGAAGAATCAAATCACTTCAAGATTTAAGCTAGCAAAGACTTACATGTATACTCACTTAAATACAGAAAGTAAAGTATTGAGTCATAAAGTCAGTATAGTTTCAATTAGGGACTAATATTCTCACCTGAGATAAAGTAGTTCTAGTATGTTTATATAGTAACAATTTTTCAATTATAGTCAAATTTTTAAATAGTCATTTTTAATACATGATATAGCACAAATTGCTTTACAAATTTTACTTCATTGCTATTTTCAAAATACATGTCATTTCTAATAAAATGTATCATAACTATAAACTTGATAAAACTTTTGTACACAATGTCTGATCACAATTTCATTTACAAATTAAACATTTGTGCTCTCTTCCAAGTTTTGATAACAAGTCAAAGAAGTTGAAAGCACCTCTAAAAACATATCTCAAGCTGTTTTAACCAAATGATCTTTGGATCTTAGTGGATTACATAATTATGTTATATATAATATTTAAGTGGAAAACATAAAATGATACTTTAATATTTTATATGGTTATTCAGTAGAATAATTTGTTTTTGAAGTAATTTAATCAAATAGGATAACCATTAATATGGCAGTATATATAGCATGGTGGTTAAAGGTGTGGCCAGTAGACCCAGACTGCCTCAGTGAAATTTTAATTTTAGCATCTGCCTAGCATCATGACTTTGAATACATTACTCACTTCTCTGTGCCTCAGTGACCTCACTTGTGAACATAATAGTCAGTACCTAATTGGATTACCTGAGGCTCGGTTGAGTTTATAGAGAATTTATACCCATACCTGCAACATCATAAGTACTCCTATGTTAGCTTTTACAGGCAAAATCTCAAGAGCAAGGGCATCCTAACTTTTTATTGTGAAAATATTGTAGTGCATATTTATTTTTCCTGCTTTTTATTATTTTTTATTTACTTCTAAATTGTATTAGACATTATTTTTTTCATATTCTAATTCTTGGCATACTTTAGCACTAATCTGATATTGAAATATCATTTTTCCTTAAGCCTTCTCTTTTTATCCATGTAATTCTCTGTGGCAGCATGCTAAAAGCTTCTCATTCTGAGGGTGAAGCTAAGCAGCATGTTTCGAAAACGCTGCAGTTTACTTTCATCTGTGACATCCTTCCACCACTTTACTAGTCTGATTTTCAATATGTGTACTGAACAATAGGTCCTTTAAACAAATGTTTGAGAAGTCTGTGACTAGCACAGTAGAAACGAACAGAGCTACTGATACTCTCACAGCTCATTTCGGTTTGTCTTCCTTATCCGTATGAAAGGGAACTATAGAAAGAGGTTGAATTACTTTCAGTACAGCCCTAAGCACTTCTTAAGGTGGTGTTTGAATTACTCCTCAATAGTTCAGTCCAGCTAAAGAAAATAAGCAATTTACATGTAAGAGAATGAACTTGGCAATACCTTAGTTATAATTCTGATTTTAACAAATTCTGTTTTATGAATACACATACTATTGATGCTGCCTTGTAAATATTTAGGCTCATAAAATTATTGAAGAACTATAGAATGGCAGAGAATCACAGAGTAAACTTAAGGCTAGAAAACACTTAATGCTTTCTACCTCAAGTGAGATACTAGACTTGAGGCAGAAATCTCACTTGAGGCAGAAATATTTTTCTTCAACATCTAACCTTTGTTCTACATTTCCAGGTTGAGGAAGTTCACTACTTCACTGTGTTAGATAGGTCGAGATGATTTTAAATGTTTCTTTATATTAAGCTAACATTTATCTTCCTGTACCTTCCATCAATTTTTAAATGCTGTCATGACAGTCCTTCTGCCATTAGAAGAGAGCCAGCCTTAATCCACCTTTACCCTATTCTTTAACTGCTTCAGCTTTCTAGGTCAACATCCTCAGCTCCTGTCATTACTTCTCAATGGTATTGTGCCCAGGCATCTCACTTCTGGGTGGTCACTAATTTGTAAACTCTTATTTACGAAAACAATCTTCCCATGCCTGTAATCCCAGAACTTGGGGAGGTAAGGTGGGCAGATCATTTAAGGTCAGGAGTTCGAGACCAACCTGGCCAATATGGTGAAACCGCATCTCTACTAAAAATACAAAGATTAGCCAGGCCCGGTAGCAGGAGCCTCTAATCTCAGCTACTCGGGAGGCTGAGGCAGGAAAATCACTTGAACCTGGGAGGCTGAAGTTGCAATGAACTGAGATAGCACCATTGCACTCCAGCCTGGGTGACAGAGTAAGAACCTATTTCAAAAAGAAGAAAAAAAAATCAATCTTCATGTGTGTATCAGTGAATTAAATATTAATCATGCAGTGTCATCCATATTACTTAGTGCTGTAACAGGTGTAGACCTGCTGCAATAGACAACAGAAGTGAATAAAGTATTTTGAAATGAATGTTCTCAGGGTTTACTGACTGGATATTAAGTGTAAGACAGAGCTGGAAGGAAAAAAGTCAGCTGAAGGTAACTAGAGAAAGCAAAGTATATGGTGATAAGGGTCTGGACTCCATAGCAATGGAAAAGGACTGGAATGAATAACTATATGAGATATTTCAAAGGAAAAGCAACAGGATTTAGAAAATTGGGTAAATCCTATGGGTAAAGGGAGAATGACTCAAAGCATACTTCATGCTTGAAAGCTTGAGTGACTGATAAAAATGTTAGTGCTATTGTCAGACATTGTGAGAGAAAAAAATGGATTTGTGAGCAAAAAGGAGAAAATGATGAGTTTGCTTGTGTTTGGGGTGAAATTAAGACATCTGTTTAGAAATCTTCCATAGAAATTTAGAGATATGGGACTAGAACTTTATGTAGCTGGGACTTATCTGAGGAACCATCAGATTTAAGACAATAATTACAGTCCAAGAACTGATGATTAGTCTGATGGACAGACTGAGGAGAAATGTAACAAAAGCCCTGGGCCTAAGCTTTGAGGAGACGTGTAGGTTGGCACAGTTCATGCCAGAATGCATGGAGGAAGTTTTAAAGAAGCAGATCTTTCATGCAAGTCACATTTAGAAGACATTAGTAAACTTATATATTTAATATTCTGGAAATGTTGACTAGATGAGTAGTCATAGTGACTATAGGAAATTCAGTCTAAGTTTTAGAAAAACTTGTTATATTGGACTCAGATTCTAAAATTCTACATTTGTTTTTATCCTTAGAGTTTCTGAAGACCACATCATGTTGAAAAAAAGAAAATGTACTCATTTTGATTTTGGCTATCACAACTATATATTCTTTTTAAAAGTAAATATTCATTTACTTAGATTAAGAATTAGAAATAACCATTATGAGAATATGTGGACTTATAATATGTTTTTCATTTTAATACTATAGTCACTGAAACGTGAAATTCATGAGACCCAAATATCCAGATGAAAAGAAACCAGCCATCAGAATGATTTTGTCCGTATAATGGTTACATTTAGATACACCAAGATGATTGATAACATTCACAATTTTACATGGAATATTGAACTTTGTTGCTAATTGTATTTCTTTAGAATTGTCTTTAATTGTGCATTTATAATTGAGGTACAAAATTGCAAAAGCATATAAAAATTAACATTTGCCAGCCAGGTATGGCTCACATGTGTTATCCCAGCACTTTGGGAGGCTGAGGTGGGAGGATCGCATGAGCCCAAAAGTTCAACACCAGCCTGGACAACATAGTAAGATTCTGTCTCTACAAAACATTTAAAAATTATCTGGGCAGATATGGTGGCCTGTAGTCCGAGCTACTCAGGAGGCTGAGGCCAGAGGACAGCTTGAGCTAAGGAGTTTTAAGCTACAGTGAGCTCTAATAGCACCACTGTACTCCAGCTGGGGTGACAGAACAAGACCCTGTCTCAAAAAAAGACAAAAAAGAACATTTAAGTGTTTCTGGAATTTTAAGAGACTTTTTCTTTGATTATTGTACTACTTTATTTTTTTTCAAAAGTAGTTCTTTGATTGTGTGTGTGTGTGTGTGTGTGTGTGTGTACGTATGTGTGTGTGTGTTTGTGTGTATCTAAGTAGATATAGATATCTTTTCACTATTCTGGGGGTGGGGGAGCGTTTATATACCACTGTATAACATTCTCGTCGAAATGATCTCCCTCAATGATTTTATGTGTATGTGTGTGTTCAGCCACAATTCCTTCCGAAGACACCTGCCGAGGCAAATGCAGGTTTCCAGTGTTGATTTTAGCATGGGCACGGAACCTGTTTTACAAAGAGGAGAGACAACAACCAGCATCGGGAGGATAAAGCCAGAACTCTACAAACAGAAATCAGTTGACTCTGAGGGCAACCAAAAAGATGTCAAAACCTGTGGGAAACTTAACTTTACCCTCCAGTATGATTATGAAAATGAACTTCTAGTTGTTAAAATTATCAAAGCCTTAGATCTCCCTGCTAAAGACTTCACGGGAACTTCTGACCCTTATGTGAAGATGTATCTTCTTCCAGATAGGAAAAAGAAATTTCAGACCCGTGTGCACAGAAAGACTTTAAATCCTCTATTTGATGAAACTTTTCAGTTTCCTGTAGCATATGATCAACTAAGCAACCGAAAACTACATTTCAGTGTGTATGATTTTGACAGATTTTCTAGACATGACATGATTGGGGAAGTGATTCTTGATAATTTGTTTGAAGTCTCTGATCTGTCCCGGGAAGCCACAGTATGGAAAGATATTCATTGTGCTACCACAGTAAGTAGTAATTCAACCAATATATTGTTTTTTATTTGACCTACAATGATATATGACTAGTTTACTCATATTATCAGAATAAGTCTTACAGAGTTATGTAATTTATGCCTTAGATCCTGCAAAGGTACGATTTCATTACTACCAATTATAATTCAGGTACCTAATGCTATATTGGTAACCCTAGTGATTGTGTAAATTAAAAAAAACAGTTCTTATAAACTAGTAGAACTGGTAGGCTATGTCTCCTTTAAAATATTTGTCTGTAACCTATCTCCAGCACCCAATTTCCTTATAGTTAGTATTGACTTTCATTATTTAAGATACTTTTGTTAATATCATTATTTTAGAAATTATTTCACTGTTTAAGAATAATTACTTCATTTATTAAGATAATCCATCAGATTAAACCTAAAATGTACTTTGATGGGGTGGAAAAGGACTTTGGAAAAGTCCTTGGTTTGATCTGAAACAACTCATTAATTCAGCTTTTGTAGAATACATAAAATTATGATATATGAAATGATCAGTGATAAAGAAGTAATCATTGTTTACACTGAAGCTTTTCTTTATTACAAACTACTTTTTCCGATTATAAAATAATACCAATTTTTAGTAGTGAACATTTTAAAAACATAACACAAAGCATGAAATTAAAATAATCTACAATGCTACACATTATATATAATATTTTGGCATATTGCTTTCCAATTATTTGCCATTCATATTTTAAAATAATAAGACCATACTAAGTTTAAATTTTTTCACGCCAATTTCCTTTCATTCTGTATTTGTTGTAGTGCATGATGTTGAAATAGGTGATCCATTTATTTAACCATTTTCTTACTGTTAGACAGTTGAGTTAGGCATAAATTTTGTTACATGAAAAATTGTGTTCTTTTTTCATAAATCTGTTTTTTTTTTCAAGATTATTTGTCCAGCATAGGATTATAGAAGTAGAATTAGATAACCGATCTCTTAGGTGAGACCACACATTTTAGTTTATTAGTTTTTAAATGGGGACGTTTAATATTTTACCATCAGGTTGTTTCTATGCATTTATCGTCTTTTGTTTGAGTTGTATCAAAATTTATAAGTTTAGAATGTTGAATTTTTGAAGAGAGAGACAGGATTATTTAAAACATAAGCAAACTTTTTTTTTATTCAAAAATATCTCGTTTTGTGTTTTCCAGTTATGAATGTTTTACTAATTACAATCAGTATGTAGGATAATTATATTGTCATTATATGGAGAAATTAATTTAAAATTCTATCATTATAACATTTTTAGTTGTTGGATTTTTGTGTTGTGATATCTGTTAGGGAACAAAGAAGAAATTTTGGAAGTGGATCGTATTTCAAAAGCACAGTGGGGCTCTTTTGATTTCACATTCGTGTTCATTTTATTACCTATATTCCCACAGGGAAAATATGATGAATAGTGATTTTTATTGTACTTAAAAATAACACCTTCTAGAATACAAATGCAAATGGAAATTAATTGTTAGATTATTTCTCTTGATTCCTCAATCTTATTACTTTTTATTTATTTAACAAATATTTACTATTAAATACCTATTTATTTATCTTTTTAAAGTACCTATTTATCTTTGGCATGCTCTAAGTACTAGAGTTGCAACAAACAAATTTCTTTTTTTTTGGAGACGGAGTTTCGCTCTTGTTACCCAGGCTGGAGTGCAATGGTGCGATCTCGGCTCACCGCAACCTCCGCCTCCTGGGTTCAAGCAATTCTCCTGCCTCAGCCTCCTGAGTAGCTGGGATTACAGGCACGCACCACCATGCTCAGCTAATGTTTTGTAGTTTTAGTAGAGACGGGGTTTCACCATGTTGACCAGGATGGTCTCGCTCTCTTGACCTCGTGATCCACCCGCCTCAGCCTCCCAAAGTGCTGGGATTACAAGCGTGAGCCACCGCGCCCGGCCTGCAACAAACAAATTTCTATAAAAAACTGAAATATGTTCTGTACATATATTCAGGTTCAGAGGTAAATAATCTGCATGTAAAGTCTAAAAATTAGTATAATTGACTAGGAGATTGGCAGTGGATTCTTTTAATGATTAATTCATCATTGTATTCTTTTTTATTATGATTATACTTTAAGTTCTGGGGTACATGTGCAGATTGTGCAGGGTTTTTTTTTACATTCATATGTTTTCCAAACTGGTTCTACTTAGGAAAAAGTAGGAGTTCCTTATGGAAACTTTAGTGTCTTACTGCTAATAATATTTATTTATTGTTTGGTAAATATTAATGAATTACTTAAATTTCTTTCCAACTCTCCCATATGCCTTGTATATTAGTTTCTTATTTCTGCTGTAAAAGTTACCACAAATTTAGCATTTTACAGTTTCATTAGAAATCTGAAATGGATCATACTAAATAAAATAGTACGATATATTTAGTACTATTTTATTAAATAAAATGAAGGTGGTTGGCAGGGCTGCATTCCTTTCTGGAGGCTCTTGGAGAGAGCCATTTTCTTGCCTTTTCCTGATTCCGGAGGCCACAGGCATTAATTCCCTTATACTGGGCCCAAGTGTAATCTCTGAAAATCTCCCCATCTCAAAGTCCATAATCTTAATCACATCCACAAAGTCTCTTTTGCCATTTAAGTAACATTATTCACAGATTCCAGGAATTAGGACATGGCCATCTTTGGGGCTACCTTTATTCCACCTGCCACATCTGCAGACATTCTTATTACAGAATTCTGAATATAAAAAGAAGTAGACAGAAAATAAAATATATTATTAGATTATTCTAATAAAAGGACATTCTCCTTTAACTAGACATTGAACCACACATTGTTCAGGATGTTGCTTTTGGGTGTTTTGGTTGGTAACATAGTAATGAAACCTAAATTTCTAGACTATGTGGACAAAATTAATATTATGGTTAAGGTAGTATTTAATTAAAATTTCTGTTCGGCCCTCAAAAAATCATTAAGCAACGTTATATCTTCTTATTAGTAAAAATGAAAAAAAAAATGATGTAGGTGGAAATTTCTTTAAGAAACTTTCTTTTTCTATTCACACATCATGAATTTTTAATAATTTCATGAAGACATTATTGAGTCTTCTAGAAAAAATGGAGAATAAGAAGAAATAAATAAAAATAAATGTAGCATATGCTCTCACTTAAGTCCTGTGGAAACCTACAAAGGCAAATCCAACTATGCAGACACAGATATAAAAGAGTTTATGTAACAAATAAAATAAATATTGGATTACAAGACTATTGGCCAGGCACATTGCCTATAATCCCAGCACTTGGGAGGCCGAGGTGGATGGATCACCTGAGGTCAGGAGTTCGAGACCAGCCTGGCTAACATGGTGAAACCTCATCTCTACTAAAAATATAAAAATTATCTGGGCATGGCAGCACGCACCTGTAGTCCCAGCTCCTTGGAAGGCTGAGGTAAAAGAATCCTTTGAACCTGGGAGGCAGAGGCTGCAGTGAACCAAGATTGTGCCACTGCATGCCAGCCTGGGCAACAGAGTAAGACTTTGTCTCAAAAAAAAAAGTTTTTATTTGAAATAATCATTTATGAGATTTTTAAAGAGTACCTTTATATAATTGCAAATCTCCAATTTAATTTAGACCAATATTTACTGGGGAAAAAATACCATTTTGCTATCAGTTTGAAAAGCAATAGCTGATATATCTTTAATTTTTAATGATTCTTCTTAGTATCATTAAGTCTTGGTTTATTATCATATTGTTGTAAATGCCATGATTCTCTTCTTCCTTCTTCATGCTAATTACATAATTATATCTCATAATTGTTGAAAAAAGACTCTGAGAATCAGACTAGCTGCTTTTGTGATTGTTGTTTTTAAGTGTGTTAAGCATCTCATTCCTACAAATTTTCATCACAGAGTCTCTGTAATATTTTCTTCCCACAGATCCAAAGGCCTGTGCATGGACTTATCCAAAAATATCGTCCAAAAACAGTTCATTCCCTGAAATTTTCTGTTCTATAGCATTTGATTCAAATAACTTGAATTTGATTACATGAATATTTACTGAAAACTTTCTATTAACAAAGTTTATATTTCGTTCTAAAATTGCAAGAAAGACTAAAATACAAGTTTTACTCAAGGACTTTAACAGAAGAGGCAAATAACAAAGAAAGAAGTGTATGCCTGAGTGTAAATTATATAATCGTTTCCTAATACCCTCCACAAATGTGGTCCTGTCTACACACACACACACACACACACACACACACACACACTTTTTGATACAGATTATATCCATATGAAAATAATATTTCAGATGGCCTTTCAATGATGATAGATTTCTGAGGAAAGAAATTGCATGATCCTTGAAGAAAAAACGGCATGAGGAAAAGGAAATAAATTGAGACTATAGCATGTTTTCAGGGGGCAAAGAAGTAGAGTGTGAATATAAAATGAAGAGACTAAAGGGAACCCAAACCAGAATGTTATGTTTAATCTATAAGAAGACCTTTAATGTCATAGGAGTTTATACTTATTTTGTTTTTTATTAGAAGAGTGAAATCACTGAAGCCATCATCTCCTATGGCAACCCATGTGTACAGTGGATAGGAGTGGGAGATTGTGAGATGTAGTGGTCAGGTAGGAATCGAGCACAGACTAGATGAGATGAACAAAGCCTGATTGAGGCTGGTAGCAACGGGAATGGAAAGAACAATGCTAATGGAAGCATTGTCTGCTGCACTTATTTAAACATTCTGCAGGTATTTATCCTATGTCAGCCACCACCCTTTGAGCTTCTGGAAAGCAGAAATCATCTTGCAGAATATGAGTGCTTAGTGGTTACAGAATATGAGTGCTTAGTGGTTGATGAATAAATAACTTAGCAAATTTTCATATGAGGTTACATGTGGAGTTATATAAATACAGATCTACCACTACCAGAGGAAAAAATAATGTGATGTTGTACCCTATCGTTATGCTCAGGTGTACTTTGTTAATGTTAGCTACTTTTTGTAGACA